AAAATTTTTGTTGTCAACTTTTTCATCTACTTGCAATTTAACTAGCTGCAGCAAGAACACTAAAATTTACATCGTATATGTAACGCTATTAAGAAGTGGCTCGCTTAATCGTTTTAATTTTAGCTTTATGGACATAGCTTTAAACGTCGATCTGACAGGTGCTTTTATAAAATGGCTGGTTTTTGAAAATAACTCTATCAAAAAGTTTGCAAAATAAAGTTTTAGATTAAGAATATGCAAGTTTAGGCGAATTCTTTTTTTGTAGCAATTAAACATTCGTAATTGCTCATTTCAGTCAGAAAAATCAAAACGATTCTAATCTTTCAGTTTTGTACAACAGCGCAATAAAGAATTTTTTTGGCTTCTACAATTCTTCTAACAATTGATCTGCGACTGTTCGATTGACATTGTACCAAGAAGTTGATCAAATGGAAGTGACAAGATCTAGCTTTACTGGCCAAAAAATACATTGTCACAAATGCTTAAAATTTTCAAGTGAAAAGTTTTCTTTATTTCTATTGTTAGGTTATGTAAAATCAGCTGTAAAAAAAATGTTTTTTATTTCTTACTGATCTGCTAAACAGTAATGTTAGTTAACAGAATTACACTCTGCAAAATTTAGTACAGAACCCTGTGTTTACATTTGAAAAGCATTTGTTGATATCTGTTTAATAAAGCTTGATTGTTAATGGTTTTTAGTTATTTTACTCAGAACCCTATCAGTTTTTTCCTTAAAATTTTGGTTAAGACTACATAACTGCATAGTACCAGCGAAAAGACATCATCTTTTCTTCAATAACGGCATATTCAAAAGATTCAAACGGTCAAATAGAGTTTTTGTATTACTTCTATTCAATTCAGCAGTTCTCGAATTATATAATTACACGCAAAATATCAAGCAATAGAAGAAATTTTGCAGCTGAAAATAATAAACACTTACAAATTTGCCGTTTTTTTCTGTACAAAATTGTTGCTTTTATCTTTCCTGATGATATCCGTCTCTCTATCTCTTCTAAAAGGTTTTCTGTTGAAAAGAATTGTTTGATCTGCAAGCTACCAAAAACTCATCTATTTATAAGCTTTCAAATTTGCCACTGGCAGTGTTAGTTGATTATCTGCTCATCTGCTCTATGATCGTTTTTTTTTTTTCGTTCGTATTTTGTTGAAACGTAACAAAGACGCTAGATTGAATACACTTCAGACATAATTTCATCTCCATTATTCGAATACTGGGTACGATTCCATGGTGTATGTCTGCTATAGTGAGTATTGGTACCCAGGAAATGAAAATCTGTTGATGGCAAAATTTTATCTGCTTTTTTCACTACAGAACATTCAGTCAAATATACACACCAGTTTTCTTTTTCTTTTTACACAATTGAAATCTCAGAATGAAAAGCATCATCAAAAGTATAAAGTTTGTAACGATTAAATGTTACGATATGAAGATCAGTGTACTTGTATCTGCAAATTTTTATCAGATTGTCAATGTGCTGCAATTCACCTTACAATCTCATTGTTTTCTATAAAATTCCTGTTTTATCGCTCCAAAATTTTTGTTAGTTGCTCTTCTACTCATTTTTCAAACTAGAAGAAGTTTTTTTTTGTGTCTCTAATATACAACTTGTTACAATAATGTTTTTCTATAAAAGTTAGAAGTTAAAACCTTCAACCGCTGATGCAGAAGAATACAGTTTTGTCAATTTAATTTGGAATTTGAAGCACCATCAAACCCTGTGGTAATAAAACTGTAAAATAAAACTATCTAGCCTATCTTTAAACAAAAGTGGGTTTTTTTTTTTTAAATTTGAAACATACAATTAAAAACTACGTAACTTAGCACTGATAATATTTTACTGGTTACCGGTCACAATTTGCTAAAACTGTCACTGTGGTCATGCATACTAATAAAAAAATCTTACAACTATTTCTTTTGCTTATAAGTGATATTAGCTGGTAATTTAACTTGTACAGAGTCTTAACTATAGCAGTATTTAGCACTCTCAAAAAATGAGTTAGCTTTATCAGAGGCAATAAAGAAAATTGGTTACCGAAAGTTGCAGAACGCCAGAAAACTTGCATGATTCTGCTCAGTAACCAGTCACATATACAGTACACGTCTACACGTTCGTAAAATATTTCTAACAGAAATGAAAACCACAAAAACACAAAGACAGTAAGTAACCATTAATGATTCCCTTCATCTAATAAGTATTGCTAATAAGTTTTACAGTCTGCACTGCAGAAACTTTTAAAATGGGTGGTAAGAAATTGTCAGCATACAAGCTACTGATAAAAATTATGTAGTATCATTGTTCACTGGTGCGATGATTAAAAATGAACTGATATAAACTGTTCAAAAGTTATTCAAAGGCGGCCAACAGTATTAAAAAAATTTAAATTTTTTTGAAAGGTATGATAAAATATCTAGTTCTGTTCTTTTTTTTTTAATTCTACTTTTTTTTTTTTCAATCTAAATATGTTAGCACAATCTTCGTTAACCTTACTTGACCTGTTTTGACAAAAAATCAACAATCCGTAAAACAGTAGGCTGCAATATCACTATTTTTTTAGCTTTAAAGAAACAGGAAAAAAAAAATTGACGATATATTTGGAAAATTAAACATTTAGTTTTTTAAAACTAATTGACAAGTTTAGTGAATACTTCGACATTTTTCGATATGATGAGATCAGAACTATAATTGTAAATCTGTTTTATGATGCAGACTACTTAGCAGAAGCAAATTAGTAAATTTAAAAAAAAAAA